ATTGAGATATTCCCTTTACAATGAAAAGAACAAGGACGTTGAGCAGACTTAGGTTTACCTCCTGAAGACTAACCAGACGGCCTTAGTTCTATTAAATCTTGCTAAACTACAAAAGACTTATCTGTAAAATAGTGGTAATGTGTAGTTATACTAAACAGTGTATAAAGCACATAATATAATATCTAAACTGAATGAATTCCCTGGTAACCATTCACTTCCTTTCTTCCCCTTGGGTTTCAGCTGGCAAATACTATTCAGAAGGGAGATTAGCCAGTTTTGTGTGGCCAATGATAGATATTTCCTATTCCTGTCTTTGTAAACACCATCTTCCTGCAGCCATCCCATTTCCATCATTGCCAAAAAAAAGTCATTCCATCCCTCATCCCTGTATAGGATTTCTCTTTCTCTTATTATCAAAAAGTTCTACCTGAGCCCTAGCCTGTTTGGCTCAGTGGATAGAGCATTGGCCTGCGAACTGAAAGGTCCCAGGTTCGATTCCTGTCAAGGGCACATGCTCAGGTTGTGGGCTTGATCCCCAGTGGGGGACTTGCAGAAGGCAGCCGATCCATGATTTTCTCTCATCATGGATGTTTCTCTCTCCCTCTCCCTTCTTCTTTGAAATCAATAAAAATATATTTTAAAAAAAGTTCTACCTGAACTCTATCCTCTTCTACATCTCCTTAGTCCAAGATATTTTGTCTTCTTGTATCATTTTAAAAAATTAACTTCTAATATTCTCCCTAATTTTCTCAGAGTAAATTATAATGGACCTGTGAAATAGGGCCTTTATCTTTCATAAGGGCATGGGAACCACAGGTCAATTCCCAGAGTAGAATGGAGGTCTCGGTCCAGGCACTCCCCCACCCCAACCCCATCTCTTTTCCTACAGGGCACAGAAACAGCCAAATTCAAAATATGTCTTGAGTCTACATAAGCACATATCTCCTTTCCTATAGCTCTGTGAGGTCATCGTTGAAGTAGAGCAGTATTGCAGGTGTGTGGAGTGTACCGTCCATATTGAGATAATCAAATTCTTCCTCCTCATCCAGGATCCCATTCTCTTCCAGGGTATATTCCATGTTCAGGTTCTTCCCTTCATATTTCCATGTGTAGCTGGCAGCATGTGCATTATAGGGGAGATAGCGGTGTAGGATTTCCCACATTGATTCTAGGGCCCCCACCTGGAGAACACAAAAGCACCCCACTCCTAGAATTCTGGGTGGAACACACATAAACACACACACACACACTCCAAACAAAGGCCAAGAGCCCAAAAAATGAGCTGGGATCAGAGTGCCTCCCTTGGCAGATAGCTTCAGACACTCCACAGCCCCAGAAATGAAGTTGGAGCTCCAGCATGCAATGAATGGCACTAACGACCTACCTGTCTGCGTGGCAGCCACTTCTAATAGATGGCCCTAAAGGTCAAAGTCATGTCACTGCCCCGTAACTTCATTCCCACAATGGACTATTAAGAGTCCAATTGCATTTGCTGTCCAAAACACAGCATGTAAGGTTTCCATGGACCACCAGCACTAAGATACATAAATTGCTGCCCTGAACTTATAAAGGGGTCTATTACACCCTGTGACCCAGCCACTGGGGACCGGTGGTCTGCTTTCCTGGCTTGCACCTAAAAGGGGGTGAAAATACAGCTCTCACCAGTTTGGAAGAGCTGATGGCCTGAAGATCTGCTTGGAGATTTGCTGGGGTTCCCCCCTCTAACCTGCCCCCAGGCATCAGTTCTCACCTCCAGTGTGTGCTCCTGCGACGTGAGTGTGTTAATGATCCGGATGTTCCGGGTCTGGGCGGACAGCCGACCCACTTCATAGCGCGTCCCCTGCCACCAGGGCTTCCCGAAATCATTGGGCCCAGTCGGAACGA